AATGTCATTATCATTCTATTGTTTTTAATCGATAGACTGCGTCGCCGACTGTCAAACTCTCCCACTCCCGAGTCATTTTCATTTGACAGACCCAAGTGCAGCACGTTGAATTTATTCAATGAACTTAACCCTTTTCGTGCACCCTGTAACCTGATAACGTGATAAACTGTCCACTGTAGTAACCGCTGTCCCTCAAAGGGTTAATGTGAGAATAGGCCAGAGAGAGAAGCCGATGAGGGGACAAGCTTGTCGCAAGCACTGAATAAAAACCATTATAAATTCTTTGCATTTGTAAATCAATCTGCACTGTCCTGTTTTTTGGAACTGTTATTCCTTCTCCCACCTGCTTCACCCACACAGACAGACCGCAAACACACACACACACACGCTGTCTCTCGCTGAGGCACATGATGGCCCAGAGGGAGAACTTCTGATGAAAAGAAAAATAACTTTTTTTTTTTTTTAATCACATCCCGCTGTGTTCTCTTCTTGTACCAATTTCAATACTTGCATCCATAACTCTAATTGCCTGTATGGCAGCTGGTTTACGAGTGCATTTAAAGGTCGATTAGAGACAAAAGCAATATCATATGTATTTAAATTCCTCTGGCTAGTTTGTTTCCCTCACTGCGTAGTTCATTTGTGCACACACACACACACACACACACACACACACACACACACACACACACACACAAAAAAGAGACTATTTACAATTAACATGAACTGCTTTTTGTGTTCTCGCCTTGTGTGAATGTGTGCGCGTGTGTGTACGTGTGTGTGCATTCCTGCGCGTGTGTGTAAAGAGATTGTGAGAGCCATGACCCATGTGATCAACCAAGGAATGTCCATGTACTGGGGGACATCACGGTGGTCTGCCATGGAGATCATGGTAAGTGATTACATCCATCCGTCCGTCTCTTATCTGAACCGCTTATCGGTAAATCATTTTTTTAATCGGGGAGGAAAAATTGTTCTTAACACACATCAGGTCATAGAATAATTGCTCAGGTTAATATTTTGGGGCCAGTTGTTCAACAGTAATCTGAATGCATTTTTAAAATGTTTTTTTTTTTCAAAAGACAAAGAGGCATTTTGAAATTAGACTACACACACACACACACACACACACACACACACACACACACACACACACACAGTTTATAGTAGATTGTGTTCATTTTTGTGCTTAAGGAAATCAATTATAGTCTTCCTTTAGCCCCATCTTGGTGCCAAGGAAACAATTTGAAGTGGGTTGAGGAGCGTTTCATTGAGACAAAATCAGGCCTTACTACATGGAAAATAAATCAGAATCAGAATCATCTTTATTGGCCAAGTATGTAGAACACACAGGGAATTTGTCTACAATGAACAAACCCTCGTTTTATTGTTCCGAAAAAAATAGAGCCGTGAATATCCAAAAAGGTCTTTAATGAATTGCCTGCAGGAGCCACAAGATGCAACAAAGCATTTTTTTTCCTACAAAGTATTAGACAAGGTTATGGCCGGGCTAAATGAAGCTCCTCCTTTCACTTCAACAGAAATTCTTGGCCCAAACCTGTCACAACATGGTGGCAAAGCAATATTAAAATAAAGCACATAAACACTGAATGATTTCCCCCTTAAAAATCCACGAGTAGGCAAATTTGCAAATGCCAAACCTCAAATAAATAGGGCTTCACTTTATTTGGTTCTTTCCTCTATTTCTGTCCGTCCTGGTTTATGTAGGAGGCCTACTCAGTGGCCAGGCAGTTCAATCTCATTCCACCGGTTTGTGAGCAGGCCGAGTATCATTTTTTCCAGAGGGACAAAGTGGAAACGCAGCTGCCGGAGCTCTACCATAAAATCGGTTGGTTTCATCATGCAGGCTTCCCTTGAAATCCTTCATATCCATCACATCGACCCCGTTGGTTGTTTAATCACAGGTGTTGGTGTGGTCTCTTGGTCTCCTTTGGCCTGTGGCATCATCACTGGGAAATATGACAATGGTGTGCCAGAGTCCTCCAGGGCTGCCATGAAGGTACGGATTGAACTTCATCTTGCCAAACAGGCTAATGCACAAAACCCCCGGCGGGAGTTAGTTTGAGCTGTCCTCCTCTCCTTTGTTTGTTTCATCTTGAAGCCATATCAGTGGTTAAGAGAGAAAATAATGAGTGAGGATGGAAGAAAACAGCAAGCCAAGTTGAAGGAGTTGGCTCATATAGCGGAGAAGCTGGGTTGTACGTTACCCCAACTTGCTATAGGTGAGACAGTTTTTATTTCAAATTTCAATGTACTTTTGAGGGCTCAAAACTGCAACTCATTGTTTGTGATGCAAAATTGTAATACCTGAAATCCACTTGTGGGAAAAAAAAAAATCTTCCATTTTGGCTTTGCAATATCCTGTTTGCCGATGCTTTAATTTGCCTTTGAGGATTTAATAAAGTTTATCTTTCTCTTTATGTCCCCTTTTCAGCATGGTGCCTGAGGAACGAGGGTGTAAGTTCAGTTCTGTTGGGATCTTCGAACGCAAGCCAGTTGACAGAGAATCTCGGAGCCATTCAGGTTAATTGAATTATAGCATATAAAATGTGTCTTACCGTTGAATCTCAAAATTCAAACACTCCAAAACGTTGTACATATTTCTAGCACGTCAAGTTTTGTTTTTTTCTCTACAGCTTACTCTCAAGATAAACACAATTCCACTGATTAGCTGTAGGAACACTGTTGTAAGAAGTTTTTTTTTTTTTTTTTAGTTTTCAAACCCTCCACTATTCCATCTTAGCGTGTTATTTACATACTCACCGGTACACGTTCATTTCATATTTTTTACGAAAATGGGGCTCATGTTGCTCAAAAACTTGACATGATAGAGAAAAACTGAAAACAGTTTTGCATTCCATACCCAAAAAGACAATTGCTAGACCTAACTCAACAAAAATTGTGTTGCCCATTGTTGTTTCCCGCGATGGATTGTGTTTCACTTTCGAGCAGGGGTGTCAAACTCATTTTAGTCACGGGCCAATTTTGGAGTTACGTCTTCCTTTGGAGGGCCGTTATGACAGTGAAAACACAAAAGTATCACTTGTACGCAACAAATTAATAGATTACGCGTTTTGAAATCAGTAAAGTCAATGATAATAGTTTTTTTCAATTATTGTTCAAATGAGTGTAAGCAGGGTAACAAAATGATTGCAAAATCTCAACGTTATTTATGACACATGACAATCTGACATTTTGGTACAGATTTTAGCAAGTTGACACGCACGATTTGCTTTCGCTGGCCACATAAAATGACCTGGCGGGCCAGATCTGGCCCCCGGGGCCTTGAGTTTGACATCCATGCTCACAAGGTTCCCCTACGTATGTCATTAGTAGCTTTCCAAGCGAGTGTTGTCAGTCTTTGATCATATATTAAAGCAATGCTGTGTGAACTCTAGGTGATTCCAAAGATGACAGCAGGCATCGCCTCAGAAGTGGATCACATCCTGGGGAATCGTCCACACAGCAAAAAAGACTACCACCATTAGGATGAGCCAACAGTCTCAGAAAACTGTCGCTGAAAAGTGTATCAAAGATCACACATACAGCCATGGCACAACAACTAGTGCCCCAACTAATGCTCGTGTGGCCCCGTGTGTGAGTGTGTATAATGTACTGCTTGGCTCCTCAGCCTCTTGTCATTATCATAAAACTGCGATTCTTGGCAAAGAATGCATGCTTAAAACCATGGCAGTGAGTCGATGCGACAGGGAGAAAATCCTAGGAGATCATTTCTTGAAGCAGGATCATCCGTCTTTTCCCAATGTTATGTGCACAATGTTCAACGTCAGGAATCGACAATAGTGCAAATGAATTCGGTATGAGGTGAGGAAAATCAAGCGACATCATTGCCATGCAGTGAATCACTTATAGTGGATCTATTTTTTAATATGGATAGGTAGAATTTAGCCTCACTCGATGTTTGTGAGGTGTTGGCAACATCATGTAACCGGTGTAATTGGGCCTGCTCTCAGCAGACTCGATACTACTTTGCATTTCTTTTTGTAGCTCCACCTGGAGCAACGTGATAAATTGTTGCCATATAGGATGAACTGAGAAGAGCTCAGCTAATATATTTTCCAAAACACCCGTGCTGTACTGATTGTAATGTGTTTTACTTGAAGAGCAGTTTTAGTCATCCTCCAGACAGTCTTCTCTCCTATTGTTTACCTTCACCTCTTATTAGTTCAACTCTTGTGGTTAAACATTGTCAGGGTTGGCGAGGTGATGAAGGAGAGCATATTAAAGCCATATAGGCCTAGCTAATGAAAACACACATTATTGCTGTGCTCCGACGAATTTATTCCAAAAACCATTCACTAAATGGGTCTTTGTTTTGCTCACTCTGTTCATGTGTGTTTTTGGCGTGGTTCATCAGAGTTGTAAATAGGAATAAAGAGATTATAACTAACTTGTTCCAGGTGGTGTTTTTTTTTCCTTGAAAAGGACTACATCGTTTTATTTGGGTTATAAAAGCTTGCAAACTAAGGCAAGTAAACCATGAGCAAACGTGTGAGTTGAATGATGCTTACGTACATGGATGGCGTTACACGGTGGATGTGGAGGGGTATAGCAGGCACGAGAATTATTTTCTCAGCCCCGTATGTATCGATAAAGCTCCCTGTTAGCCCATGGGAAGAAAAAAATCGTGTCGAATCTTTATAAATTTTCGTAATAACATGCAAATATTATTACACTTGGTAATCTTAGTGTGGCCTTTGTGTGTGGTGTTCGCACATTCTGTCGTTGCAACATTTGTTTTGATGTGACTTGAAGACTCTGCATTGTCAATAGGTTTGAATGCTCGAGTTTTTTTGAATGTAGCACGTTGTTTTCAGTTACAGTTTTGTTTTGTTTTGTTCTAATTGAATAAAATAAAATCGAAATGATTGGGCAGTGGCGCTGTCACCACAGAAATAAAGGCGGGTCTTTCATTTAGTTTATCCAATAAACGTTTCCGGTTTCGAACAATGGCTTTTGATTGGTTCCAGGGCACTTCCGTATATATCATCTGTTCAGATGATTGCTCGAAGCCCGCGATTTACGAAAAAAAATCTGTAAACACGATGTATTGATTCCAAACTTACCCCTGACTATGGTTTCGACGTCTTAAAAACGAGAGTGGCTGTTGCGACCCCGTTTTGAGCTCGCTGAAACGCAACTTTGTTTGAAGTGCGATTCGTAGACAGCATGCTAACATGTCTGAGCTAATAACACAGGGGAGTTAGCGTTTCCTTGTCGACTGTCGTCAACAAACCGCGGCGTCCATTGTATGCTTCAAAGGCATCCAATTTGATTCGGTGAGTCTCGCATCAAATTTCTCTCACCCTAACGCGTTTACAAGACGGTAATTCAGTTCTCGTGGGTCACTGATTGCAGCTGGAGAACCTACAACAACAATGTCACTCGCCACCGAGTCTCGTTTTGAAGCCACACGGCACTTCGCGGAGAAAGGAGCGACTATTTGCGTGGTACCTGATCTCACCTCCGACCTGCTGGGGGACGAGTTCGACTTGAACAAGTCCTACCCCTGTGCTCAGAGACCACTGCAGAAAAGAAACATGTTGGAATTGCAACGACGTTACTTTTGTGGACCATCCCCAGGTAAGCAATGGCCACAAAGGACGTTTAACACCTTATGTAAAAACGGCATCAGCTCTTTTTTATTTATCAGCCAGACCAGTGCCACCGACGAGATCCATAAAAAAAGGGGAAGAACTTGGTGTTTTTATTTCCATTAAATTGTGATAATTCACAACATTATATTGTCTTCATTTCTCTTGGCTGCATTGGTGATGTTTGATTTTTGTTACTTTTGGTGATGCTTTTTTGCTTCAATAGCAGCAACAAAGCCCCCATTGTCCTGCGTGCATCTTGACTCGGACACATCTATTGACGTCCTCCCATGCCCACCTACAATGTCAGAGACAGAAGACAAGCTTTATAGTCAGCTTGTTTCTACAGATTTGGGGCTGCCCGTCTCGCTACTGGCACTCAACCCAAACAAAGTGCTTCTGACAGTAGATCGCAAAAGTAGAGAGGTACAGTTCTCTCGTGTTTAGAACAGTAATTACCCAAATTTTGCTGCAGCACATTATTGATTCCACAGCAAGGACATTTACTGGTTTTGGTAGAAAAATGATCATGTCCAATATGAAGAAAAACAACAGGCATTAAATCTAATATCTACCATATATGTCCCTTAGCTCAGTAAAAGTTGGGAAACACTGTTTTAGAACATATTATAAATTCATTATTTTAAAAAAACCCTGATTATTATTGTTACTTTTTTTTTTTTTTTTAGATAATATCAGCCAATGATCAAGCCTACAAACTGTTTGCGTGCACCCCGGATGAGTTGAATGGAACAAAATTGATGTCCATTTTGAAGAAAACCACTCAGGTCTTGGAAGATGCGTTGCCTGAGGACTGTCTGCTAATGGATGGCAGTGTTGCATCAGTACCTGGCCAAGTGGTATGTTGCCGACCCTTTCAAGCATCTTGACCTTCGCCGCAACCAACTACTCGTCATCATTATTGGGAGACATAGAATCTGTTCTCAGGGTGAAGTGTATAGTCACGCTCGCCTTCTTCTTCTTGTAGGTTGATGTTCTGACACCGTCTGGCGAGATGCCAATGTTGGCGTGTACCCTCCAAGCGTCACAAAATGGAGAACATCTCCTCGTCAAGATGGAGAATGTGGAACGGATTTCCGCTTCTCTGACGTTTACGCAAGATGTGAGTGAATTTTATTTTCAGCAGCCTTAATCTTTTTCCTACGTGCAATATCTCTGTCGTCATACTGTTCTTAAATGTTATTTGGCAGCAACCGCATTAGATTCACCTTCATAATTTGATACAAGAATTTAATAACAAATTCAAACTTGGAAGAAAAAATAATAACTGTGGTGTCGTGTACAAAACACACCCCTTCCAACTCCCAAAGTTTGTTCCTCCATTCCGTACACAATCATATTAGCTCACAGAGCCACCAAAAATCGTCTGATTAATATTTATTAGTATTATTATCAATTGATGAAAAATTCTAAAATGAGATTAAGAACACATTGCTTGAGCAAGCATGTCAAGGCACGATGCATTCCATTGATGGTCAACTGACCGGACTGAGCAATACTGTGGCTACCCCAGGATCTCCTTCATAGACCTTCCGGTTGATCGTCTGACCCACGCCAAAGAGCAAAACTCATAGTTTGGGTTATAATTTGGGTTCCGATTACAAGTGCTTTTGGTTTTATCCTCCTTTAGGGCAATATTCTTACCTGTGACTCTGCATTTGCTCATCTCCATGGATACCACCATCCGGAGGACTTAAAAGGACTCTCTGTTATGGAGCTAATCCCCTCTTTACAAATCCCCCTGCACTGTCAGGCATTGCCCAAAGTAAGCACAATTTGCTTTCACACTACACCACTGAGGAAAGGAAAGCCGCTTCCCACAATATCTCTGTTTGGGTGTTAATATCAGACTTGTGCTTTCTTGTTCCCCCGTAGATGCTGAGTGTTCAGAGAGTGTGTGGTAGGAGTAGAGAAGGCGCATCGGTGCCGCTGTGCGTTAAGCTTCAGGGGGCGGTACAGTGCGCAAGACCCCAACAACAGCACAGTGGGATGAGCCTTGGCAGAGAAAATGCACACAAGGCAGAAGACTTGCAACCTGAACATTGTCAGCAATCTGGTAAATTGTTCACAATTCGGGTTTTGCTATCGGAGCAGTTCACCATCAAGACGCAGCGTTTAATACTAGAGAATAAAGTGAGTGACTGCTTTATGGCTCTACTTAAGCATAATTTCCAGTCAAATTTAATTTTGAACTTTTTTCACCTCATAGTCAGTCGTACGCTCAACATTTGAATTGTTGCGCAGGGCAAAAAAGTAGTGAAAGGAATTTCAATGATTTCTTGATTCGTGTACTATTCACACTAGTTGATTCTCGCCAGTCCTTGAAAAGTTTGACTCATCATTTCATGGATTGTTCTTTTTTTTAATGAGTTTACGCAGACATCAAGGGAGACAGCAGGGTCCTCTCCCCCAGCCCCACACTGGAGTACAATGGAACCATCTGGGCATTTGCCCCAGTGTGCAGCCTCCTCCTGCTGCAAGCTGACGGCTCAATCTACAGCATCCACAATCGACAGGCGCTCGGTCTGTTTGGCTACAGCAAGGACGAGCTGCTCGGAAAGGTTCGCCAACGAGAGCGGCTGCGAGAGGGCGAATGGCGTGGCCTCTTTTGACAAGGCTCGTTTGTCACCGCTGCTCTCTTGTCGTCAACAGTGTGTCACGTTCCTCATGCCCAGTTTTTATGGATGGATGTCCGATTCGGTCAGGAAGATCAGTCCCTTCCCAGAGTCTCAAGCAGAAGCTGTCAAAAGTACAGCGAAATCTGGTGAGCATTTACAGCGCACGGCTGTTTAACCATATCGGAAGTTCACATGGAAACATACAGCGGTGGGCAAAGTGGCCCACATACGGCCCGCCGTGTATTCACATTAGCAAGAGTCCTTTCATTTATTCTTGTAATCTATCTGTATTTATTGTGTTTCATTGTTCATTAACATTTTTAATTATTTGTTTTAAATAACTGTTTTTTTGGTAAACATTTGATTTTTTTTTTGAAAGAAAAGGTGAATTATCCTGTCAATAAAATAAAAAATATTGTAAAATTACACACAAAATTACAATAATTTATTCATTGATTTAAAAACAAAAATGCTATGAAAATAATTATAATCAAGTTTAATTTTTCATTTATTATACAAAAGATAAGAATGAAAATATTACCATAGTGTAGTAAAAAATAAACCTGTGTATGCTCAATGTTTTACAATGGTTCAGTATAACTTATTTTTGTATTTTATTACAATAAATTTGAAATAACCTGGCCCATCTGTCTTTTTGTTAAAAAAAAAAAAAAGTTTTTAAATGACATTTGACTTGAGCACAAGTTTATCCGCCCCTGGATTGTAGTGTAGAACTCTGATAAATAATCTAATGACAGTGTTGCATGTTCAAAATGTGCCTTTGACCGAACGTTCATTGTTCCCTTGACCTCAGTCATCGACCCGTCCTCGCTGGTGGCTGGAGACATGGCCATGGTACAGGAAGCCTGCCGATGGAGATCCTCCACAGGCAGAGGCCGAATCTTCACCGGGAACTGCACCAGACTTGACAAACGGGGAAGTGCTCTCTCCACGCTGTCTTCTCCCGCTGTCTCTTCCACACGTGTATTTAAGTAAGTCCTTTGGACATCACAGTCATTTCATAAGGTTGTCTACGTGCTCATAATAATCCCTCAAGGGATAAATGTGTTGAACCGTTGAAAACCGTAGGGCGTGGGAGGTCATCACACTCAGACTTGGATGGATTGTTTTTGCAGTATATAGGAAATACAGAAATTGACGCCGTCTTCGGTTTATTGTACTGACATACAATGTTTGCGCTTATACACGCGGTGCAATGTGCTTGATAGCCCAGCGGTATATAAATATGCTGTCACGTGGTCCAGTCAGTCACCGCCTTATTTCCCTTTCATCATTTCACTGTTACATTTGTGGTTGACAAGTGTTTTCATAACTACTGGTACTTTTTATTTACCGCAATTATGACTTCACCACCTCATTATCTTGGGTTAGTAATAGACAACAGTGCGTCGTGACCTTTGTACATATTTTGGTTGCGTCCGTGCAGGAACGGAATTCCTCTGGAAACTGAAGACGCCCCTGTCAATGAAAGTGTCACTGGAATCCGAACCATGAAATTGGAGTTCATTGTATCTCTTACGCCATCTGGTGGACATGTACTGTGGCATGCTTTGTCAGCAATCAAGTTTATGTCCGTAGCCGAGTGAGCAACATTTAACACAAAATGTGGCGTTGTACAATGTTAACTAGACTTGTGTGAGAGCCCATTTAAAAAAAAAAAACGAAGCACTGCACAAAGACCTCTCTGTAGAAACACTGTAATTTTAGAGGCCATCCATTTTTCCCCCCCACAGTGCTAATGACACCGAAGAGCTGTTGCAGCAGGCAGCCCAGGTCGCTGCCGGTAGTAGCCACTCTTCAGGGACAGGCAATAACACCGAAGCTCTCCTGAAGACTTTTGCCTGGGTGGACCAGCCCGAGGGAGATGCCGCCTGCATGCTTTCGACTGAGCAACCAATACAGAAACATGAAGAGCTGCGCCTGGAAAATGAAATCAGTGCAGGTATTCGCCAACATCCTAGTTTGCTCCTGATAATCACTTGTACGTTATGTCTTTGCAAAATAACGATTTCTATTCCCGCCATCCTCAGGCACTCCCACTCAGAATGAGCAAGCTTTTGGAAGTGGGGGTTTCAAGTCTTCTGGCGTTGACAAAGACACACGCCCATGTACATCCGTCCTGCAAGACTCCAGCTTTGAGGTCATTTCAATGGAAAGCAGGTGTGCTTCTCACTTTTACCACCATTTTTTTTTTTTTTGGTGTGTGTGTGTTTTTGAAATTGACCCGCCTCTCTTGAGTGTTTTCATTATGCTTTTCAAAAGTCTTAGTATGTGCAAACGTCTCTCCTGTTGGATGAAAATATTCAGTACGCCCGTGTTCCAGGTCTTCCTCCGGCTTTTGCGAAAAGTTTGCTGGCCACGGCGGTTCCGGTCCATGCCGGGCAGAGATCAGCTGTTTCCTGGATCTCAACAGCAACGGCGACCTGGTGACCCGAGCCCTGGCTGACTTGGATCTGAGCAGCGCTGTGCTTATCAGCCTCCCAGGGGGCAGTGATGAAAACCGGCACTCCATGACGTCCTGCGATACGGCCGAGCTCCTGCGCACACCCTCCCCGTGCGACGTCGAACCTGAAGATCAGCCCGTCAACGCCAATAAGGAGGCCAAGAATCGCTCCGCGGAAGAACAGTTGGAGAACCGGGCTGGGACAGATCAGTGGCCCGCTCTTTCGTCCGTTCACAAAGAAAGCGTCCAGGAATTCTGCTTGAATGGGGATAATGGCGAGGTGCAGTCGACAGTGGACCTTCCCGCTACATCCACGCCAAAGAAACAGAAGATGGAAAAGGGTGCGCTCAAGTCAGATGCGCCGCAGTTACTGGAGGGACGTTTTGAAGGAAGTGCTTACCACAGAGATGGCACGAGAGTCGGTACGGTTTAATTCAACTTAATTCAGTGATTTAATTTCCAACTCGTGCTTCATGGGAAGTACAAAGTTAAAGAAAATGGCTGAACATTTCTGAGGTGTACGGTGTCAAATACTTCCTCATAAAATATACAACTACAGCAATGTCTTATAAACGAGGGAGGAAAGAGCATAACCAAAAAAAAAAAAAACACACATTTGAAAATGTTTCCCCCCCCCTCAAAAAATTCATGCCACACCAATTTAGTGAAATTAGATGATTGGAATCAATGTGTCAGATTACTCCGAGTGGTCTAACGTAAACTTTCACCAAGAGATAGAACGTCACAAAATACAAACATCCCGCTGGCATTGCAATAGCTCAGCAAATGAAAACATTTTCTGGTTGTCTTGTTCGAATTGTCCGCCTATCGATGGTCTCGCTATTTAAATCCTCTCTCCAGAGGTGCAGTGTGACGTGGTCAGAGCCGACCTTGCCGATGGAAAACCAATGTTCTGCGTTTGGCTGAGCAAGGCCGGCCAGCAGTGGTCAATGTCGCAAAGAGATCGATCCCTGCTCGACAAATCAGCAGCTAGTCTTGGAGAGGTCAGTTAGTTGAGAAGAAAAAAAAATAATTATCATAATAATTCAAGTGATACATTCATAGACTTATTTATCTGTCCCGTGTGACTTTATTCCAACATCCCTCCCTCAGAGAATCGGCGAGGCGTGTCACGGCGAGGCTCTGCGCTCCACCCTGGACCTCGAACACTCTCGGGCATGCGACGGGCAGTTTGAAGAAGAGTACAAGCCTATTAAAGCCGTCGGTAAAGGAGCCTTCGGTTTTGTCTGGAAGGCAATAAGGCGCTGTGATGGGCAAGAAGTAAGAATATTCACATACGCATGGCAAAAATACTGATGCTTTGTACAAAAGTGAAAGAACAGACACTTGTAAAAGTACAAGGACTGATTTGACTCCTTCAGCAAAAGTAAAAAATAAATAAATAAAATACTGTTACATACTCAAGTAGATATATGAAAATCATCATTCAATGTAAGATACTCGGTTCTAGTGCTAGAAAAGTAGACTTGACCTTACCGAATCGTTGACCTTTGCAGACAGTTGTGAAGTTCATAAGCAAGGCAAGGATCGTGAGCGACTGCTGGGTAGACGACCCAATGTTGGGCCTAGTCAGTCAGGAGATCGCCATCCTGACTCGAGTGCAACATCACAACATCGTCAAGGTAACCGCCTCCCTCGGCCTCCGTCAACCTCTGAATTGCAACGAAAAGAAGACGCAAAACCTTCAATAGACCCTGTCCACTTCACAAAAAGTTGGAAAAGTACAAATTATTGAGGAAAATTTAACGGCGCTCTTATAACGGGCCGTCGCATCGATGGCTTCATCTTTGTGTGTTTTTTGCTCGACTCTGCCACCAGGTGCTGGAGGTCTTTGAGAACGGCAGTTACTTCCAGATGGTCATGGAGAAACACGGAGACGGTTTGGACCTCTTTGAATTCATTGACATGCAGCCACGACTGGACGAGCCCCTGGCCAGCTACATCTTTCGACAGGTCCGTACAGGATAACGTATCGACGGCGCAAGTTCGCGTATGGCTTGATTGGAACTGCACCATTTTGTCTTTCACTCCACAGCTGGTAGCGGCGGTCTTCTACCTGAGGTCAAAGAACATCCTGCACAGAGACATTAAAGACGAAAACATCATCATTGACAAGTGTTTCCACATTCGCCTCATCGACTTTGGCTCTGCGGCAACGATGGCTCCGGGGAAGCTCTTTTTCAATTTCTGTGGCACGCTCGAGTACTGCTCCCCAGAAGTGCTTCAAGGAAACCCGTATGTGTATATCGCATCTTTGCAAAAAATACATGCTTTATTTTTTTTTCATTTCGTTTTGATAACCGCAGCGTTGGCCCAAGTGTACAATTTTTGAGAGGATTATGTTTGTCATTGCTCTCCCAAAGCATTACGCCTGACAACAGAATCCCGCTGTGAGAGCACTGTTTCCACTCCTTTACGACTTTGCTGGGCCATAAACTTTGATGACGTGCCTTTTAAATTACACGCGTACAACAATCATAAAGTTATTTAAAACGTTTGCTGGATGTGAATGAAGTGATGAACACATGTTTGCTGTCGTCTCATATTGACACAACTAAGTTCCTATGAGATCATTGTGGCGGGTGGTTAATGTGTGCTGATGCGTCCTTTGTGTAGCTACAAGGGTCCCGAGTTGGAGATGTGGTCTCTGGGGGTTTTGCTCTACACGCTGCTGTTCAGCGAGAACCCCTTCTGTGGTGTGGCCGAGATCCTGAATGCCCAACTCAAGCCCCCTTTTCCACTCTCCTCAGGTATTTACATTGGTAGCTTTTGACTTCAGTCTAATTCCCCCTTGTTTGTCAAATTAACTTGCCCCATTGAAATGAATGGACATGTCATCAATCCGTTCTTGCGCCTCACCCGCAAAAAAACCCCAAGATTTGTTTTTGTTTCCCTCTCTATTAATCAATTGGACGATGTCTTGTAACGAAAATAAATTGGGACTTTCGTGTGTCAACATAACACTGTTTACTGCACAGCTTTTTTTTTTAAATTGGAATTCAACAAACGTGAAACGTCTGTTTTCAGGACTTATTCAAAACCGACAATCTTAAATGAAAGGTGGTTTAATGAATGGTACACAAGCGCAAAGTGAACTAACATCACAGTTGAGCAAACAAACATGCACACTTGTACTTTCCGTGCTTTGTTAAAGACTTGTCCCTGTTGTATGTATCAGAACTGAACAGTGTGTTATGTGGGCTGCTGCACCCTGAGCCCACCCTAAGGATGACCCTGGACCAGCTGCTTCTGCAGCCCTGGATCAGCCAGCCCATTTCGCTGGCCGAGTACACCTGGACGGAGGTGTTCCCTGCAACTCAAAGCAATTGTGAGTACTCGAGAATTGAAGACTTAGATCCAAATTATGAATTTGAGTCACAAATGCAGCACACACCCAAATTTGTTATACACTATTTGTAGTACTAGGAATAACATAAAGCACTTGACTAATTATCTGTGTTCCACTTTTTAATAGGCTTACTGCAGCGCCACGAGTCCATTCCCCAAAGGTATGGGGGTCAAGACTTGTTCCCAGATCAAGGTGATGACACTCTTCTGGATGAGGAGGACGAGGAAGACCAGTTGTCCATGGCGGCCTTGGAATCGGAGCTCCAGAAATACCTCCATGAAAACTAGAGACTGAATAAAGCCCAGCCGTCCAGCCAATGTTTGTTTTGTTGATGGAAGTTCCTGCAACGAAGGTAAAATACATTTTGTGGAGCAACTTCTTAAGTTCATATATTTTTTATTTATTCTTTTAGGTCTTTTTAAAGCAGTAAAAGCTTAGCAGTACCTCACATATTTCATCAGTTCACCTGTATAATTAAAACCGTAAAAAGATGACACCTCAAAATGACGGGTTTTTTTTTTATATCAATTTGATTTTAACACTAAATGGAATATAAATTATATTTATCTTATCTATTTATTTTTATCCACAAATACATATTTTACCTTGATTTTGAATGTTTGTCCTCGTCTCTAATAAATGAAATACATTTGTTTTGCAATTTGTACAAGCAACATGCAACACTATTTTACCTCGTGATGTTTTGATACAAGTCTGTGTGATTTTATAAAGATTAAAAACCTTTTTGGGTAAAAACTCCTGATTCCTCTTATTTTTTGTCTGCTAACTAACTTGCCACACAAATACTATTTTGGTTTGGTTTTGAAGAGGCGTTGCTTTATAGTGGACAAGAGATCTCCTGGAAAGGATGTACCTGTACAGTACTGTGGGATATATA